TCCAAGCACATGACCGGAGATGCATCCAAGTTCCTACAAATCAAACCCGCTAAAGGAGGAAACGTAGTCTTTGGAGACAATAGCAAAGGAAAAATAATTGGCGTCGGCTCAGTAGGTAAGTCCGAAGACTCTTCTATAGATAATGTCTTGCTTGTTAAAGGTCTTAAACACAATCTCTTGAGCATAAGTCAATTATGTGACAAGGGAAACCGTGTGACCTTCGATTCAAAATCATGCACTGTAGAACGCCTTAGTGACAATAAGGTCATTCTACGTGGTGATAGAATCGATAACATTTATATGGTTAACTTAGACAAATCTCCTTCCGGCTATGCTATGTGCCTCATGAGTAAAGAGGAAGACACTTGGCTATGGCACCGAAGGGTAGCTCATATGAACATGAACCTTTTGAACAAATTGGTTTCACAAGACTTCGTATTTGGCATCCCAAAACTTAAGTTTGAAAAAGACACCATATGTGATGCATGTCAAAAGGGGAAGCAAGTTCGGGCTTCGTTTAAGTCTAAAAACGTTGTTTCAACGTCTAGGCCGCTTCAACTTTTGCACATGGATCTCTTTGGTCCTTCTAGAACGAAAAGCTTTGGTGGCAATTACTTTGCGTTTGTGATTGTCGATGACTACTCTAGGTTTACATGGACCTTGTTTCTAACTCATAAAAGTGAGGCATTTCACGTTTTCAAAAATTTCTTAAAGAAAGTTCAAAATGATAAAGAAACAACCATAGTAGCCATAAGAAGCGACCATGGGGGAGAGTTCGAACGAAATCTGTTTTTAGATTTGTGTGACGAACTTGGCATTGATCATAACTTCTCAGCCCCACGTACACCACAACAAAATGGAGTAGTGGAACGTAAAAATAGTTGTCTCAAAGAGATGGCTAGAACTATGATCAATGAGGCAAAAATCCCTAAGTATTTTTGGGCGGATGCCGTGAGTACCGCGAGCTACGTGTTAAACCGAGCTGTCATTCGACTGATACTCATGAAAACGCCCTATGAACTATACAAAGGGAGAAAGCCAAACCTTTCCCATCTTCGAGTCTTTGGTTGCAAATGTTTTATTCATAACAATGGTAAAGACAATTTAGGCAAATTTGATGCTAAGTAGGATGAAGGAATTTTTCTGGGTTACTCATTACGTAGCAAGGCCTATAGAGTCTTCAATAAACGTACCTTGACTATCGAGGAGTCTCCTCACATTGTATTTTTCGAAGATAACCCTCGCTTGGCAAGAAAGGATATTTGTGATGATCATGCAGATTCATTAGAGAGAATACACGTTGATGACGATGAGGAGAACACGGGAATTTACACCAACACACAGCCACAAACTGAGGAAATACCTCAAGAAGCTAACCAAGGTGATGAAGAAAGACAAGAGGAAGAAGAAGAACAAGCGGAACACGAAGAAGAAGAAGAAGCAACCGAGCTTCCTATTGCATGGAGAACAAACAAGAACCATCCGCTTGACCAGGTAATCGGCAGCATCAACCACGGGGTAAGTACTCGTAACTCTCTTAGGGACACCGTAGGACACATGGCTTTTGTTTCTCAAATTGAACCTACAACCATTTCCGAAGCAATAAACGATGAACATTGGACCTTGGCTATGCAAGAGTAACTAAACCAGTTCAAACGAAATGACGTTTGGGAATTGGTGCCAAGACCCGATGATCGTACGGTTATTGGTACGAAATGGGTGTTCCGTAACAAACTTGATGAAAATGGAATAATCACTAGAAAAAAAGCTAGGCTCGTAGCTAAAGGCTACAATCAAGAAGAAGGCATTGATTTCAAAGAAACTTATGCACCTGTAGCACGTTTAGAAGCTATTCGTTTACTTCTTGCTTTTGCTTCGTCTATGGATTTTAAACTTTATCACATGGATGTTAAGAGTGCCTTCCTCAATGGTTTTATTCAAGAGGAAGTGTATGTTGACCAGCCCCCGGGGTTTGAGGACTTTGAGTTTCCCAATCACGTCTTCAAACTCAAGAAAGCGCTCTACGGTCTTAAACAAGCACCACGTGCTTGGTACGAACGTTTGAGTAAATTTCTTTTGGATAGTGGTTTCCAAAGGGGAA